GGTGTGCAGCTGGACGAAACATACATGTCGAACCCCCCCAGACGATTTAAATACCTGACGAAACATACACGTCAAACCACGCTGAACGGTTAATTCCTACAGTTACAAGTCAAAGCACTGCAGAATTAGTGGGTAAATAACATAAAAATTTCATAAGAATGTCAAATATAAGGAAATAAATTCCCTCTAAATGTTTCTTGGTTGTATTTCAGGTAAATTTCTGACAGGTGTAACATGTTATATAGCAGTTTCTGTAAATATAAAAAATTTCGACCTTTCATAGGGTTAAGGTTCAGAAAGAAACATCTTTAAGCACCCATGTTTGTCTAACTCCCCCACCAAACTCAATTTCAAATACTGATATTACGGGTATGTGAAGCCATTTTGAATTCTGTGGTATCCAGTGTACAACTGTTATGTGTGTTGATTTATGAATTTTCTGTTCATTCATTTCCTCAGGAAAGTGGGAAATAGTATAGTGATCACATGAATATGATATGTGAATAACACATAAAATATTTCTTTATGGAGCAGTGAATTTGAAAATTAAACTGAGGAAAGTCTTAAAATGGAGATAATTTAGCACAAGTTTACTGGGTTAGAATCATTGATGTAGAACATTAAATGAGAGAAAACCTTCGATTGATGGATGTTAGATGGTATTTCAGTGTATTACAACTATATCTACAAATTTTATATGAAAATGTTTGATCGTTTTTGCTATGCCATGAAGATTTAAGATAGTAAAATACCAGGAGACTGGTTTGAGTTTAATTCTGAATGAATGTCATGCTCTCGGTCGTATGAAAGGTTTGTCATAAAAGAAATTAAGCAGTTAACTTTATGAAACATGTTACAAAATTTTTACTCTTTTATCTTCCAGTTCCAATCATCTGCAGGCAGCCCTAAAGTGCACTATGCCATTGGCTAGTCCTTCTAATGTACATTTAAAGCGTTGTAACATGTTTCCAGACTCATCTCTGTATCATGGAGTAAACAAATTAACCTGTTAGTGTTTCACTTCTGTGTTGAGTATTGTTCGTGACAACCCTTTGCTTAACAGGATCAGACAAATGAAATGGAGAGACAACGCGCATGCATTGATGAATACAACAAGCAGTTCTATGAGCTGAAAAAGAGTAAGGACCAATGTCAAAGCACTCGCAAGTAAGTTTCATCCAGTCACTATAATACAGTGTTAGAATGAATGATTTTTACATATATATGTTTTGTATGAATTGAACAGTGAGTCTGAGAAAATAAAGGGGATGTTATGGGTGCTGCTGCAGAATGAAGGGGATGAGCAAGAAAATGGGGTGGGTGAAAGTGAAAAAGAAGGAAACAGTGATTGTATTGGTCATAGTGTGGCAATGCAATGTCATAGAACTTCTAGACTGCATAAGTGCTTCCTGTTCAATAATATTAAATTCATAGCCAAATATGAATCAGTTTATATTCTTCTGTCTCCCTACAGTGAACTGTGGAGGAAAGAAAACACAATTCAGCAAACATTATCATCTCTTAAAGAAGATTTGGCTAAGGCTGATCAGTCCTTGCGTTCCATGGCTGGCAAGGTAAGTGTCCAATTTTTGTTACTGCCTTTGAATTACTTAGTAGTGACAAATCCTTCAGAATATTACTATCTGATTACTATTGCCTGATTGGAGCAGCCAATCCTGAACGGAAGGGACAGTGTCCGCAAAGTCCTGGAGACATTCCGGGAGCGCGGCGGAGCTGCTGCAGAGATTGCCAATTCGTACTATGGCCCTGTCATTGAAAACTTTGATTGTGAGAAGAGTATCTATACAGCTGTTGAAGTGACAGCGGGAAATAGGTAAGTGAAAGGCAACTCGGACATGTACGTGTCTAATCCACTGATTTTGTGAGGCTCCAGGGTGTGACTGAATGTTCATATCCTTCCTTATAATAATACTAATCCATATAGAAAAATCTGCACTGCGTTTGAAGAACAATTTTTGTTATGAAGAAAGCAGTCTTCTGGGATGTGGCACCATGTAGATGTTGTGTTAACCGACGTTTCGGAGGAACATATCACCTCCATCTTCAGGGTAGAAGAAAAAGAAGAAATCTGTGAGCGAACCAGCATGAGCAGATGCTAACAGACTGAGTCCAATTGATTAAACCCAGCTGGGTTCACTCACAGATTTCTTCTTTTTCTTCTACCATGAAGATAGAGGCGATACATTCCTCTGAAACGTCAGTTAACACAATATCTACACGGTGCTACATCCCAGAAGACTGCTTTCTTCATAGTCCCCCACCCACGAAACCTCAAATTTTACACAGTTTTTGTTATGTTCTGTGACACCAGTTATAGATCATTTATTGGATGTTTCCTTAGCAAAAAATAGCGGCTCATGTCTTTGTACCTTCTGTATCATTCAAGCATAATACTAGTCATTTATCATTTCTTGTCTTCATCTTCCTGGAAAACAGGACTTCTAGAAGCTCTGGAGACTTACATGGCGATGTTCAGTAACACAATTCTGTGTTTCACGAATATACTGCCATACCATATATTGGAATGAGAGGCTGTGTATGAAATTAGCATGTAGCTAAATGGTCACTTAGTGGCTGTAATAGTACTCATTCTTACTGCAGTCCCTATGTTTCTTTTATGAGGGAGAGAACATGGGAAGAAATTGGCTTGACCTCAAAACACTGTGTCTAACAGTAAAATTAAGCGGCCTCCGTAGTCTAGAGGTAACGTTCCCACCTCATGACTCGTAGTACACGGGTTCAAATACCCAGCGGAGGTCGTCGAATTTTTAAGGCTGGAAAAATTCAGGGAACAAGTCCTCTGGGAGGGACTTCAAGCCGTGGGTCCCGTGTCGTAGCTTTACGGCACGTAAAAGAACCTCATACCTCCAAAGGAGGTTACTGAGCAAAATTGCGGACGTTTGCCGCCCAACAGCAGTCACTAATACCTCTGGTAGATGGGGGAAGCATTATAGATACTTATCAGCCAGTAGAGAGCCGGTCTCGCTGGCTGGGTGGGACTGATGGTAAGCACCAATACCGGTAGGATATGGAGGCTGGTAGAAATCATAGAGGGAAGCACAATGGACCACTACAGGTCTAAGTGCATGGGGAAACCCACCCTCTCTAATAACTAACTAACTAACTAACAGTAAAATTAACAATATTTTCTGGGTTTTTGTAATAAGATAATTTTTATATTTATGCTTTCTTACTGTCATTAGTTTCCAAGATGCAGACATGATGGACAGATTAACAAATACTATGAAAATTAAAATGGAATCATCCCCCAAGGATCTCCTGGTAACTTGTATGTAGGAGATAATGTGTGCCCTAGAGCCAGGTGATACAAATCTGTATTGTCATCTTCTAGAAAGTACAGTTTTACCAAAAACATTTTAATAAATAGTTTCCTCCAGTAACAAAATTTACATTATTTTTTGAATGATGAGATTTCACTTGACCTCTCTGATACACATTTGCAAATGTTCTTATAGCATATAAAACTTGTGTGACAGATTTGCTTTAAATTTTTGTGGTTAGTTGGATGATCCATAAAATTCATTCAACGAACATTTTCTTTTCTTCTTTATTATTGAATTATGTTAGTATAGGCAGTTAATATGTGAAGACTCACATTTTCACAACTAGTGTTAACATTTCTGGTATGTGTATAAAGCTGGGAGTGCCTGTAACATCTCGCTCCATTTCGGGTATAACTTTTAGATCATCCTTACTTTTTGCATCCCCATTCTGATCACTTAACTGGTTTTTCTAAATGGAACTACATGTAGGATTTAAGCCTAGTTCAAACATACTTACATTTATGAGAATTGTGCTAGTATGTAGTATAAGAAAATAAAGGGAATTACAACACACATGGACAATCTGCAGACTGGATAATCTGCAGTTTAATAATTGGGACTTTACTGTAATGAGATTGCTCCAAAACTATGTCCTACATTTGACAAAATGTGATTGGATTCCAGGTTATTCCATCACATAGTGGATTCAGACAAAGTTGGCACACAAATCCTGAAAGAAATGAATAGACAGAAATTGCCAGGAGAAGTCACCTTCATGCCTCTTAACAGGCTTCATGTCAAGGAGCAGAACTACCCACAGTCTAATGTATGTATAACACCTTCTGTTGGTCTTGAGCTGTTGTGTTATGCTGGGTAGATATCCTTTCTGTTGCCTTTTGTACCACTATTTATGTATTCCTGTATTAATGAATGGTAAATGTTAGGCATGTACAGTTCTTAAATTTTCAAAATTGAATCAAGACAATAAATATCTCAATATGTTATTTGAACATTGACTTGTCAGTCCTCGACATGGAGAATTTTCAGGTAACTGCTTCTGCTTTGAGCAACAGCACGTAACTAATATGATCTCTCAGAATCATAATGGTTCACCATGCATGAGTCATCTTGTGAGGAAAATCTGTCCCTCTCTGTCCCACTGCCATTCCTGAAAATAACATGGTATTAGAATTGAATCTTCCTTCTAAATACAATGATTTATGAAAATTTTTCATTGGAAGAAGTTCTGATATGAAAAGGGATAATTAATGCACTTAAATACATTCTGAAAAAGGATCTAATATTGACATTATAATGAAAGAATTGGTGTAGTGGGGAAATGTCTTGTTTTTGTCATGATTCTTGAAATTTATTCAAATTCTCATCCCATTCTCATCATGAGCTGTAAAGGTTATTCACACATATACCTAATTTTTATCTTGTGTGATACAAGTTAATCTTAGCTGTAGCTGACAATATAAAATTCTGTTATATTACAGTATTTCAAAATAAATTAAGATTGGCTCATCTCTGCTCAGTTGTGATTCCATTTCCTTCCACTTTTTTTTTGTATAGTTATCGTTATTAAATACATTTTATGTTTGTAGGATGCTATACCTATGGTAACAAAGCTCAACTATGCATCCAAGTATGACAAGGCTCTGAGATACATCTTTGGTAAGACACTCATCTGCAGGAACTTGGAAGTGGCAACTAATCTTGCAAAGACAAGTGGACTGGACTGTGTTACTCTTGAGGGTGATCAGGTGTGTTATTCGTCGATATAGGTTCTGTAATTTGGTGAAATTTAAATTTTACAGAAACTGAAATGCCCTTACAAGAAATTTCAAATTATTCTGTAGCATATATTTTTGGATCTTTTATATCTGGAAGCAGACTGATGAAGTGTTGTCATGTATGACTTTATAAAACAAAATAAGAATCTTACCCTAGCAAATGCCTTCACCAATGAATCTGCAAGGCACATTATAATAAAATAAGATTGAAAATGATGTACTCCATAATATAGTATGCTTAATTACCAGTAGCATTCTGTGACATTTATTAAACATACTTTGAAATGGGAATAATGAAATAAAAATTATTGGAAGTCTGCCATATTAAATTAAAAGAAATTATGAAATAGCTTATGGGATACATAGAAAAATCTTTTTATGATATTTATGGTATTATGTAAATCAGAACTTAAGTGGATTAATATGACTGAAAATCAGAATTGCATGATAAGTTTTGGTTGAAGTCCCCCAACATCAGATTTCAACAAAATGGGTGGAGGTATTTATGGAATGCATTAACAAGCCCATTTATGGCCATATATAAACTAGCCTTTATTTATGTATCTGTAGGGCTGAAAATCATAATTGCTGAACAATTTCTTATGAAAGTCTTCCATGCTGAACTTGAAGACAATTTATCCATTGGTTCAGGCCATGATGCTAGGTGACAGACAGGCATGCTCTCTGTGTAAGGTGTTTTTTTTTTGTACACTAAAAACAACTTTCATTGTAATACTGGTTGTAGTGGTGTGCAGTACATTTAGTCATCTCATAAGACGTTTGTGTGTCAGATGCATAAAATGGCCTCAGGTTCTGTAATTTAACTCCTTGCAATGAATTAGTCTGTTTTATTTCAGATTTGCTTGTCTTCCCTTATGTGCATACTTCATATTCTGAAATAAAAAAAAATATATATATTCATTAGAAGAGCGAATGGAACTAATGTTATTGAGTCTCTTCATAGTAAATGGATTCCTTGTGTCATGTCAGTTTTTAAATCTTATTACCTCTGCCTCCATATTGGGGATCCAAAAATGCTCAGTGAGGTTGTATAGAATGTATAATGCATAAAGATTCTGGTAACATAGTTAAATGTTTTTAAAATTATTGCTGACATGAAAAGAAATTAAAATATTTTGAATTTTAAATTTTGATTAATGGTATTATAGAATGATTTGACAGCACTGTTCAGTGTGACTCAAATATATATTTATATGAATGCCTTCACATTTTTCGGTCAGTTATGACCATCTTCAGAAGGCATAACATGATGAGGAAATTACTGTTACATTGATCATAGTACATCAAGTTAAATCAAAGTTTTATTAAAGATTTTAATTGAGATAAAATGTGGTTAGTTAAAAATTATTAGAATTCTTAATATTTAAAATCTTAAACCGCTAAGGTTCGTGTCTTTGTGCCTCTTCTATCGACGAGAGATTGGGGTAATATTGCTATCCTTAGAGGTCTGCGCAGTGTTGTTTTCCCTTTTTTATATAGTTGTTTTTCTTGTTTATTGCTAGTGGGGTGGGACTAAGTCCCTTGTACTGTGGCCACTTCTGGCCTATTGTACCAGACCCAGGTGATAGGTGAGAGTGATTGTGGAGCAATTGGTGGAATGAAGATTGGCAGGGGAAACCGAAGTACTCGGAGAAAACCTGCCCCAGCGCCACTTTATCCACCACAAATCCCACTTGACCAAACTCAAGATTGAACCTGGCTGCCACAGTGGGAAGCCAGCGACTAACCACTTGAGCTATGGTTCAGTATATAGTTGGTTAAGAATATGTGTTGTTGAGCTGTTTCTCCTTTCATTGTGTGTTGAGGCATCAGAGTTTGATGGCGTTTCACTTCACCCTTCTGACATTCTGTACACTTATAGACTCATGTTCTTATTTGGTGACAGACATGTCAGAGCAAGTAACACTAATAATTTTCCATGACACTTCAGTATAAAGTTTATAGTGTTATTCCTGTGTGTAGGCCTGTTCAGTGTTAAGCAAGGAAACACACATGAAAAAACCAAACCAGCTGAGACAGTATCACATGAATGTCATGTATGAGTAAAATGGCATGTCACGTTACAGGTGTCTTCGAAAGGTTCACTCACAGGTGGTTACTTCAACACATCACGCTCGCGACTTGAAATACAGAAGACCCGCAGTGAACTAACAGCACAAATCCGAGACGCTGAGGAAGAATTGGCACAGCTCAGAGAAAATCTAAGAGAAACAGAAGGGAAGATCAACCATATTGTATCAGAGATGCAGAAAACAGAAACAAAAAACAGTAAAGCCAAGTGAGTTTTGAAGTATCTGGAAAAGAATAACAAATATTATATTCTGAATACTTGATAAGGAACAGTTGCTTTATAATTATATGATAAATGAGTGCTCTCTGACAGTCCAGATAAAGTACCAGTAAATGAGCAGCCTCAGGCATGGGAGTGAAAGGGCTAGTTTCAAATGAAATCTGTGGATGTATTCCTGAGTATATCCTTTTATCCAGAAACACAGATGTACAGGTTTACAGTATGGTAATGCAGTTAATTTCAGTCTAATTAGCAGGGAACAATTCTCTGGATGACATGCTACATTTTTCAGGGACATTTTTGACCAAGTAAAGGCAGACATCCGGTTAATGAAGGAAGAGCTGGCAGGCATCGAGCGTTATCGAGGTCCCAAAGAGAGATCTCTTGACCAATATGCATCCAGCCTGGAAGCCATGCAAACCACCAAAGAGGGACTTGAGTCTGAGTTACATCAGGTATAGCATCTGTGTTTTTCAGCAGATATGACCATGTAGTGGGCTTGTAGCAAAATCACCAGATCCTCATCTGTTCTGTTGCTCTACATGTAACATGAGTGCAGTGTGCATTTTGGATTTTAACTGTGTCCCTGAGCAGTTGGCACAAAGTTGGCTCTGATTTATATTTAGGAGATGCCTGAAATTTCAGTTGGGACACTGGCTATCTTGTCGCAGGTTTTTTGTGGTTTTCTCAAGCCCCTCACAGCAAATGCTGCATGGTACCTTAAATTAGGCTGTGACCACTTGTTCCACATCCTTTCAACTTCATTATTCTTTATTATCAAATAATGTGATGCTGTATATTCCTGAGGACTGACAGCATTGTTAAGTATGCTGCAAATAAACAAATTGACTCATTTATGTCCCTGGAGATTTTTCCATATTTTTCTTCAATACTGCAGGCAGATACTAGGTCAGTACCTTGAAATAGAGTACAGTACCCTGCAGATTCTTTTGAGCTCACCATTCGTAATCATCACATCTCATTTAACGTTATATAATATCACCTAAGGTAGGACTGTTAAATGGCCTAGTCACGCAGCACTTAGGCGCTTATGTGTTAAAAAGCTACGTCATGCAGACTCTAAAAACTAGAAAATGTGTAATAGCCTACTCAGAACTTCCAGAAGTATTCCTTACTGTGATCCTTCCAGATTTCAGGTCAGGAAACATTCATTTCTTTATATGTTATTTGTAATGTTCATCATGTAGACAGGGCCAAAAGTGATTGAAAGGAAATGGTCCTTTAAACTGATGTAGCATTTGTGTCGGTTATTTTTCTCAGCTGTATCAGATGAAACACAAACATTTGCAACTTCTTGTTGACAGGATTTGATGTCCCAGTTATCAGTGGCAGATCAGCATGAGGTGGACAGCTTGAATGATGATATTAGACGCCTTACACAGGAGAACAAAGAGGCATTTAGTACAAGGATGAGGCTAGAGGCAGAAAAGAACAAACTTGAGAACTTACTAACCAATAACCTCATGAGGCGTAAAGATGAACTCATGCAGGTACAGTATAGAACTTGTAGTTTGTTTTTTATAGGTTGTATATCCATTTGTATACAGTGTTCAGTCATCACAGCGTGTGACATACATAATGAAGCTAGTTGTTTACAGAAGGTATCCATCCATTTTGCCTTTTATTTTGGGCCCTATTTTAACCATGTATATATAGAAAGTAAGGTGTGTGCTTCTGGTATACATGAAGAGTTAAATAAGAACATAAGGATGAACTTTTGATAGAAATGAAAATTTACAGAAATTGAATGCGTTCCAGATGTTCATCATGTTGGTCCAGCACAAAGACATGAAATGTTTCATGTATGGGTTTTATTAGATCTGTCACAGTTCTGACATTTCAGTATCTGAATTTGAATTAAGGCATTGTAATGGTCGTATGTTTGTTTCATGTAAAATGCATGCAAAATAAATGGTGGTAACATTTTCTCAGTATGCTGGCAGTAGCTAAAGTGAGAAAACATTAATAGGTGTATGTTCTTGTACTCGTCATACAGTGATTGAAGGCTGGGGGAAATATGCATCAATTTTTTGCCCTTTGTAAACTTCTTAATAATAGACTGTCACTTCCATGTTGTGCACGTTCACAATGTTGATGAACTGCCTTATATTTTTCTGTTGTCACTGGGTATATTTCTTTCATATTATACAATTTTGAATAGATGGAGGGATAGTTGAAGAGGGGTGTTTCCCTTAGCAAGGGGGTACAGAAACAGTGGAAGAGTAACATTTTATATCACTTAATTTATTTATACAGTATGTTATCACAGGTTTCTTATTTTATTATATTCTTGGTATACATAGGCTCTTCAAGAAATTTCTGTTGAAGATCGGAAACGACAGCTAGAAAATAGCAAATCGGAACTAAATGCTATTGAGAAACGAATTGAAGAAGTGAATCGTGAATTTAAAAATATGGAAAAGGAAGTGCAGGAAGCCCTGAAAATGGTAAGTTTTTATTAATGATAATAGTTATGAAGCACCTTATCAGTTACAGAGGTGGATGAACTTTGGTTTTCATAAGTGGATCACCAGGAGGTGGTGAAGCATAAGAATACCTCCCAGTCCTGATTTTAACTTATTCAACCTGTCTTTATTCTTTGACTGCTGAGCCCCACCATAGGACCATCTGCTAGATATGTTGAGCCTGCTTGGGGGTATTGTTTTATTTTTTTTTATTGCTAGTGGGGTGGGACTAAGTCCCTTGTACTGCGGCCTCTTGTGGCCTATTGTACCAGCCCCAGATGATAGGTGAGGGTGATTGTGGAGCAATTGGTGGAATGAAGATTGGCAGGGGAAACCGAAGTACTCGGAGAAAACCTGCCCCAGCACCACTTTGTCCACCGCAAATCCCACTTCACCAGACCCGGGATCGAACGTGGGCTCCTGCGGTGGGAAGCCAGCAACTAACCGCTTGAGCTATGGTGTGGCCTTTGCTTGGGTGTAAATACAGTTCCACAGAAAAACTCACAATACTCTAAAATAATTTTCAAGTAACAACCGCAATATTTCACAATAAAGCATGTTTGTATCCTCTAAACATCATTATGTTACACTTGATGTCATCTGTTGACAGAAGTGCTGTACTAATTCAATAACAACAACCTGATCTTCTTAGCATAAGCATCCCAAGCTAATCTAGTTGGTACGTGGCATACGGAGATCATGGGATCCATCAGGTTAAGAGTCTGAATATTCTGATTTCAAATAAAAATATAATTTATGAACAAGAGGGAAAGATAGAAAATGTGGAGGGACATAAATTTTCAGGTTTGAGGGTTTTGTCCCTTTAGAGTTCAGATGGTACACATGTTTGATGGAAAAAAAAAGTAATTTATTATAAGAAAGAGGGATTATGGTATTTTCTGTGACTTAGTGATGTTATCTGCAATAAAATAAACTCATGTTAGACCTGCTTTGTACCATTTCTTTTTAAGAATATGGTCTTTCTTGGTACATTACATATGATGAAAAGTTCATAATATTTTGAAGTCATTTGTCGATGTATTATTAGAACCCATCTGTTTTTCATATTACAACCAAAAGTGTCATGATAGGCCAGTTATTAACAAATTTAACTGAATATGAATATTGAACACAGAAGCAGTTCTCACATACTACTGCTGTTTGCATTTTTTAATCCAAGAAACAGATTCATCTGATGTGTATGACATCATACAGGGTGTTTCATGACTTTATGTCAGAACTTTGGGAGGTCATTTTAAGTGAAAAAATTATCCACATGGATACATTCTCAGAATATACTCAGGAATAACCTAAAGCTTAACATAAAGTCACGAAACATCATGTGTATTGAACTGTTTGGTTGTGAAGTATTGTGGTGCATTTTTTGTGGCATGCAGCAAAAGGAGGAACAGGCTGAACAGGATGAATGGAAGTTAAGGGAGAAGGAAGCCAGGGAGAAAATTGAGGAAGATGCTAAAGATTTGGAGAAGATGGCATCCAAGCAGAACTTATTGCAGCAGAAGATTGCTGAGTGCACAAAGAAGATTCAGGAACTTGGTTCTTTACCTTCACCAGAGATTTACTCTAAGTATCAGAACATGAGCACCAAGAATGTAAGTGCTGTCTCATAATTGATGAGCTTAACACTTACTTAATATATTTAAAATCTTTTTTCCACTTTGATGATGTCTTCATGCTTCTCTGAGTCTCATTCATTCACAGGTAGCCAAGTGCTAGAATCATAAGGTACATAAATAATATTGGTAGTTATGATTTTGATTATTTTGAGTTCAGACTTCCCTCACATTTTCACACAGTTCTTTTTATACTTTCTATAAGGTTTCTGTAATATAAAAGATTGTCTTGCTACCTATTAATGTTACTGTTTCTTGAAGAAAATTAACATTTAATTATTACACATTTGGTGCACTATTTTATGTCATAATTTTATTTTGTATATGTAACAAGAAACTTAACAGCTGAAAAGTTGAAAATTAGAAAGTTAAGCCTGTTTACCATTTAATTTGATCGATAGTATAAGAATACTGACAGGAAAGGATGCTTCCAGCATTAGACAAGAACTATGGATCATATTACATTTGTGGTTAGGGTTACCACAACCTTGGCATGAACGTTAAAAATATTGTAGTGTATTTGAGATTGTCATAGTGGTAGCTGTGAAGGGTACAATCTCTTGGAGTTGTTGTGACACTATGTAGTTTGGTAGAAATCCACCAGTGTTTCAGAGGAATGTATGCACACGTCTTTGGAGCCCACCTGCTTATTGCTGGTTTCTTGCTTGGCCTTATTCTTCAACCCTGAAGACAGAGGCATTGTGTTCTCCTGAAATATTAGTGGACTTATGCCAAACTATGCACAGTATTATAATCAGGGGATCATACTGTTCTTAAAAATATTAACTTGCAGTTGATGTTCGATTAGCACCAAATTGCCAACCCTAGGTACATCTGTCTCCTGATGATTATTTACACTTAGGCTGCCGGTACACCAACTGAATCAAGTCCATTTGAGTCAGATCATGTCTGACTCATGAAGATACCGAAAAGGCGGACCCTGATTTTCACTTCACTGGGTACAGCTCTACACAAATCTAATGGACAACATTTTAAAGCAAGTGTCATGTAACTTCGAACAAGGCCAAGAGTAACCTTGAATGCGCAGAAGAAATTGTCTGAAATTTTTCTTCTGCACATTCAAGGTTACTCTTGGCCTTGTTCAAAGTTATGTGACACTTGCTATAATGGTTACTGTACTTCAGAAATATAGTAAAAATTTGCACCACAAGAAATTTGTTGAGCAGTGTCTCATACAAGTCTCCCATTAATATCAAAATTTATATCTGTTGCTCTCTTCTAGTTTCTCTGGCATGTTAGATCACTTTTAGCTGCCATCAGTACTGACCGAGGAGTATTTTGTTGATTCTAAACACCAAGGCTGAATCCAAATGTAAAGCAAGCAGGAACCTTTCTGAAAACAAACTGTGGCACAAACATGAGGGTTGTATGACTGAGAAACTTGTATAGTAAAGCAAAATGATGCTTTATGACTTGATAAAACTTGCAACAATTTTTTTAGGGTATGTACTGTACCATAGTTTCGGCTTTGAAAAGGCTAAATATTGTACTTATGTTATTGTGAATGTGTTCAATAAATACATTTTGTTACAGTTGTTCAAGGAGATGGAGAAAGCAAATGGTCATCTAAAGAAGTATAGCCATGTGAACAAGAAGGCTTTGGACCAGTTCATGAGTTTTTCAGATCAGAAAGAAAAGTTGGTTAAGAGGAAGGAAGAATTGGACAGAGGGTGAGTAGCGTTTGAGAAGTGCATGACATTGAAATGCAGGACAGTTGCTGTCGAGTTAGCAGTGTATATTACATATCATACTGTTGCCAGCAGTACATAAACAGAATGTTATGTAATTTAAACAGCCTGCCACTCCCATTCAAGCACTGACCATAGGTGTACGGATGCATGCATTTACTAAGATTTTTATTTGACAGTATTGTGCATCTGAAAAAGTATCATATGATAGTAAACAAGGTATGAAGGATGAAGAAAGGGACTGTGTAACACTTATACTAGTATATGTAATACTGTAGCGCGTAAACCCGTTACTGGGCAACAGTTGCAAACAAACACATCTCCACAGCAATGAATCAACATGCAACAGTGGAGGTATGCTGGAGACGGTGTTTTCTACAGTGGTCCGTGCTGAGAAGTTATAGGTGAGACGAAGTGAAGACTTGAGTTCAGGTGTTGGTGTTGTAGGATCTGTGCCTGGCAGTAAGGACATGAGCGGACGTTAAAATCCTTTGCTAGGAAATGTGTAGTGAAGAAAGAGAAGACTTTAAATGTGCTGTAGTTACAGTGAAATTTGGAGTGTTTAACTTGATGAGACTGTTATAATTACTAGTACTTGTGATCCCTGGGTGGTCAACACATCCATTTATCCGAAACCCTTCAAGAGTCACAGTGTCTTGTATATCTTCTGCTCTTCATGTACTTGATGTCTGTAATGAGAACTATAGGGGAACGCGGTAGCATAGTTAGTTGAGGCACTATGCTACAAGCTGGAAGGTTGCGGGTTCAAGTCCCAATGAGGTCATTGGATTTTTTCAATTGACCTAATCCTTCCAGCCCACTATGGCCCTGGGGTTGACTCAGCCTCTAACAGAAATGGGTACCAGGAATATTCCTGGAATGTTCTTGGGGGTAAAGGGCAGTTGCTGTGTAAGGCTGACAACCTTACCGCCATCTATGAGCCCTGTGGGCCTCCATGGCCTCTTACAGGGATACCTTTTCTTTTAATGAGAACTTTTTATGATGTTAATTTTCAGGTTTGTGAATTTGAATAATAATAAGCTTTTATTTTGTTTTGGATAATTATTGCAGAGATGAGAAGATCAAAGAGTTGATGATGGTGCTGGAGCAGAGGAAGTATGAAGCTATTGAATTTACATTCAAGCAAGTATCAAAGTATTTTAGTGAAGTGTTCCACAAACTGGTACCTTCAGGTCATGCACAGCTTGTAATGAGGAGAAATGATGAAGAGGCTGGCGGTTCACAGGATGTGAGTTATAGCAGTAGTTGTTAATAATGTATGATATGCTAAAGAAAATTTAAAGAAATCCACTTGAAGCTACTGAAATTAAGTGTAAGTTATTGTGTCATTACAAGAATGCAGGACACAATCATAATACGAGGATAACTAATACATGCTTCAAAAAACAGGCAATAGTTTAGACGTCTGAGAATGACGGTAATGAACCAAAATAAGAATGTTTTGTATGAATGTGAAAATTCTTCTCTTACTGGAAGAGAATCTTTCCCTAACATTCCTGCGATAGAGTTCTTTTTTATGGCCAGCAGCTGTTCTTCTGCTGCCTTTTAGCATGTCATCTGCATATCATATTAGTCATACCTGCCAAGTTGCAGTGACATTTTGTGCAGTAATTCTGAATTAGATTTTACAACTCAGAGAGCTTAATTATTACTTCAGTATCATTTGAGGATTATAATCCCAAGGGAGGGTTGAAGATATACTGCTAAAATACAGTATGCGCCAAAATATGCAGTACTGAAACTCTCACATCTTGAACGCGCATGTGTGTTTGTCGATGGGGCATAGCTCCAGCTGCACGTGTTCCCAGTAGTGAAAAGGAAGTTGTGTTGTGCAGTTGTTGGAAATGGGTCTCTCAACAGAGGAAAAAGTATTCATAGTTGAGTATTATTTCCGCTCATACGGAAGTGGTTGCCAGACAACGCGCTTCCTTGGTTTTGAGCGGCCAGATGTTATCGTCCAGAAACCGCTACATAGTACACGTGTGACAATATGGTGTGCCATCTCAGCACACGGTATATTAGGCCCCTATTTCATTGAGGATGAGGAAGGCAATGCTCTTTTTTATTTTAATGCTCGTGGGGTGGGACTAAGTCCCTTGTACTGCGGCCACTTCTGGCCTAGTGTATCAGCCCCAGATGATAGGTGAGGGTGATTGTGGAGCAGTTGGTGGAATGAAGATTGGCAGGGGAAACTGAAGTACTCAGAGAAAACCTGCCCCAGCACCACCTTGTCCACCACAAATCCCACTTGACAAGACCCGGGATCGGACCCAGGCCGCCGCAGTGGGAAGCCAGCAACTAACCACTTGAGCTATGGCGCAGCCAAAGGCAATGCTCTTACCGTCATCCAAGAATGTTACATGGAAATGGTGATCGGACCATTTCTTCAGGATTTGAGAAGGTTCTCTCATGCAAGGGGCCTTCACATGAATAGACAGTGGTATCAATAGGACGTCTTTTCATTTCAGTACTGTATATTTTGGCGCATACGGTACATTTTTAAGTTTTGTATATTTTCATTCTTAGATCTTAGCAGTAGGTGATGTTTCATTGGAATCCCCATTTAATGTTCTCCTGTTATGTTATGTCTGAGTCAGCAGTATCAGTGTTGTTAAGTGCCATTCCTTTTAAGGTTTTCCTCGGTTTGGTAAAAATTTATTTTCCATCCTAAGAACTTCAAATGGACAGAATCTTGAGACAGTGAAATATGGTCATGAGTCCCATGGGACTCCAAGAGCCAGCAGCAATTAACTCAACCAACCAATCAAACCTTAAATGGGTGCTTCACTGTTAATGACCTCCTTCACAATGTAGTGCATTTACTGTGCCTTGACTCATAGACCTGGAGTTGACGTTGAAATGGAATCTTCAGTACATGAACTGGGGTGTCAGACCCTGATCATTTAGATCAACTTTAACATTCGAGTAGCTTCATCCCATAGTGTTATAATAATAATAATGTTCAAAATTGTTTTTTAGGAAGCAAATTCTGACAAATTTACTGGTGTTGGAATCCGAGTTTCATTCTCCGGCCGCAATGCTGAGATGCGAGAAATGAATCAGCTGTCTGGTGGCCAGAAATCCTTAGTTGCCCTTGGGTTGATCTTTGCTATCCAGAAATGTGATCCTGCACCATTCTACCTCTTTGATGAAATTGATCAGGTAATTATACAATGAAGAAAGTCAATCCTAATGAAAGCTGTGTTGTACTGTTCAGTAGAAAATGTGGGTGAATTATGTTAGTGTGATGAAGCCCATCCTGTGTGTGAATGAACAGTATATTTTTATGTGTTCTATATACAAAGCTCATAAAATTAATGCGTGATTGTTGACAAACTGAATTGTGCAAGTATGACCAACTGTTACAATTCTGGTGGGTTGGGTAGTTACTGTTCTACTGCACAAAGCAAAAGCAGTTGTCTGAAAATTTTCGAAGTTTAAGATTGAAAAATCGTGTTTGTTAAACAGCCAGAAAGTAATAAAGAAACATGACTAAGGAGAATTGTACTTTTCAGCATAATTCCTGGGAAGTTGCACTTCAGTAACATGTGTCTGTTAAAATGTGTTGGAGTTTGCTGCGTTGACGACAGGATCACAAGAATGTCTTCGGAACAGTAGCCTGCAGTTCATTTCATCTCCTCTGATTTCTTTCAGGCGTTGGACTCGCAGCACAGAATGGCTGTTGCAGAAATGATCCATGAGCTGTCCAAAGAGGCACAATTCATTACTACAACGTTCCGACCAGAGTTGTTGATCTTTGCTAACAAATTCTATGGAGTAAAGTTTCGAAATAAGGTACATTGAATTCTTAAGTTTTTTAAATTGATTTTTGAGTGTTTGATAGAGTGTGTGGTTGGAATCATAAACATTTTTTTAATATCATCCTTTTTATTTCCTCTTTTAAGCTGACTTTTGACACAGATCTCTATCAAGGACATCTGTTACTGTATTTACAGTATAAAAACCATCAAGTGATAGTCGAATGATACAACCTAACAATACACCATGACTGCTTCCACATCCCATCTATGTATGATTTGTGATCATTCATGTTATTTGATGTCACATAACTGTAATTGGTGTTTCCAATTTTTTTAGGTCAGTCATGTGGAATGTGTTACAAGAGAAGAGGCCGCAGACTTTGTTGAAGATGATACAACGCATGGTTAAAATTACCAACAGTGTTTACCTCTTTCTTTGTTCTGTTCTTACTGTTGAGGGTTCTTAGTGGCAGACTGAACACACCCCTCTTACACGGTTATATCTGTTAGTGTAAAATAGTTAAAAAAAAATCACAGTTGTTTCCTACATGGAATCTATGCTAGGATGTTAACATGGTTAAGAATTTTATTCCTCAGATATCTTGTGTATAAATTAAAATGATTTTGTACACACGGAAAAACAAGTTATTTTGTATACTTATATATGTTAGCATAAGAACATTGTCATAATGAGAATTCATTCCAAAGTCTCTTAAATTACTTTTTGTGAGTGTATGGACAGGATCATTGAGAGAAATTATTGCTTTAGGATATGAGCAGAAGTCACAGCTTCTGTTAATTTTCTTATTGAAACACCATTTTGCTAGGTTCAAATTGAGAGCGAATATACGTTTCAGTTAACTTTTATCGGCTGTGTGTCATACTGTTATAATGGTGTACCTGACATCAGCTGGCTGAGTGTTGCAGTACTGTGACATTAAAATACTCCATAGTCAAAAACCAGCCTATAGCAGGTGTGACATTGGACTTATTGCTTTCTACAGACTTTATTATGCTTTTGTGCTGCAAGTCATTTGTGAACATTATCATAGGAGAGTCAATCTTAGCCTAGAGGGATCTAGGTTCCAATCACACGTCAGTCATTCTATCAGTATACCATTCAAAATTCTTCAAGCTCTTTTCAGCTGTGACACAGTATTTTCATCTGTATGAATCCCAAGGAAAGCCAAACTAAATAAAAGTTTCTCTATGTAGTTGGGAGAAGGGAGTAGACCACCGTCAGAAATTTTGAAGGTAAACTCTGACCTCTGTATTCTTGTGCTGGTGGGAAAAACTGGTATGCTGTCTTACTAACGAATAATTCCATGGAGCCTAGTCTTTGTTGAGAAGGGAGCCTCCAGATATGGAGGATAGCTGAAAATACAGGGTGAATCACATAGAACCGGTCTGATGAACTTGCTAATATTTCTGCAGGTGGTGCATATAACCGCTCGCAGTTACGACATAATAATCCGTGGGCCATGCTGAGTTGAATGGTGTGTGCATGATTTGGCAAGTGGCAGCCCTTATGCTGCAAGGTGAAGGACAATGCCGAAACGTGTCTGCAGTGCGCAGGCGACAGTCATGGAGTACACTGTTGAACAGTGACTGTTTCTAATGCCTATTTGAAAATGGCGGACACTTTCAACACCTGCTCTGATCACGGCACACAATCCAAGATAAGATATGTGTAAATTACTTTAATATCTGTATGGTATATTTTATATTACACCTCATTTCGTTGGGCCGGTTCTATATGAATCACCCTGTATAATGAATAAGCAGTTCTGGACAGCAGACAAGGCATCCTTCCAGCTTGGGGCTTGGGTGTAGGGCTAACAAGCCACTGTTAAAAAAAATATGTTACAAAATGCCATACAACTCTGAACAAGACAATTTTACCCTTGCTATAGTAGCACATACTTTTATGACTAAAGAAAATATTGGACAGTTGCTCATTTCCTTTGATGATGCTATGGAAGCTGAGATATAATTCAGTCAATACTGTAGCACTCTCAAAATGCAGATTGTGTCCATTCTTGTCAGTATAAGCTATAGTGGATGGAAGATAAAGAAGTACCACATGCGAACAGAGTTTACGCCAGTTACCATCTTTGTTTTCGTCATGGTTGTGGTTCAACTATTGGTGGCAGAGACTACAACAACAGGATGTTAGTTGCATGAGACAAGGATTATGGTTGCTTATGACTTCTGATTTATTCTATCCGTCTTACAGTGCATACATTTATTCACCTTACTCTTCTCTCTTGCACTACATGTTTCAGCACAAAAGTGACATCTTCAGGTGCTTTTCGATGTACGTCAAATATATATATATATTTTAGTATAAAGACAACAGGGCATGCAATGAAGTAGTTTGATGTATATCGAAAAGCACCTGAAGATGGCACTTTTGTCCTGAAACATGTAGTGCAAGAGAGAAGAGTAAGGTGAATAAATGTATGCACTGTAAGACGGATAGAATAAATCATGGACATAAGTTATGTTCGGTTAGGTTTGTTCAACAGACCACAGCACATCCAACTGCACAACTCCCTGCTCAGTGAGGCAGCACTTGATGAGATTCAGCAATGTTCAGTTAGGTTTGTGTACCTCCCACCTAACTTGGGCAGAACTTGGTGACATTCAGCAATGTTAGGTTACATTAGGTTATTTCATTGCAACACACAACTGTGCATCCACTTCTTCCCACAGGTTCAGTTGTGTCAGATGGCCTTACGTTGTAACAGTATCAAAGTTTGTGACTATGGTTACATTAGTACAAATATTATGTTTCTGGACATTAGTCATTGTCCTGTCTTTATCTACAATAAACCAGACAGTGTTTTTACATAAAGTTGGATGACTAATAATATCCAGAAACATATTTGAGCCATATATTGGCTTGGGCTGTGTTGTGTAAAATTAGTTCGACGAATCCCACCACATCATATCCATCGGCATGAAATTACGCCTCATAATGGTTAAGTTTTATTGGTCATTGATACTATCAAAAAAATCTATACATTTTAAATTGCAGAACTTTTAGATTTATCGAGACTTCCTAATTTGTGTACATTAATGACAGTTCATAATTTATAATGCTGTATTGTAGTGTAGCATCCTGTTGCACATCACTTATTATTATGAAATGTAGGTAAAGTTGTCCCTATGCCTAACTAATTATGCACTGTGCCATGAAGATGTATGGGGTAGTGGATGTATAGATCCATATTTTCTTGACCTCAACACTAGCTGGAAGTGAGTATTATGAAGTGAAATCAAACAGCAGTCATACACAAGTGCTTAGATGGGACCATGGGACTAAACATCAAATATTGAAACTACAAAATGGAAGCACAGCAATTTTCATCTACAGTTTTAAACTTCTGATGTTCAGTGTTGGTTGAAACATGTAGTTTGATGTGGAGAAACTTTTAAATAAATTTTAGAAATACACATTGCACGGAAGGCAGTTGAACCAGTAACATTTGTTGAATAATCCATAATTTAGAAGTGTGCAGAATCTTGAAAATATTTAAGTTATTCTGATATTTGAAATAATATAGTTCAAAAATTTTCTTAAATATGTGAATTATTTTAATAATCTTCAAATTAAATATGTTTATTTTGTAAGAATAATTTTTTCATTTAAAATTACGATATTCTGTAATGAACTGTTTATGTGCTCAGAATATTCCAACACTCACATGAGTCACCGCTTAGTTTGCAAATGTATCTGCTATTGAACTATTGAAGGAGCTCATTCACCTCTTTCAGAATTATCTACTCGTATTTCACAGTGCGTTCACACCCTCTCTGATTAGAAATTTACATTTACAGCCATATTTCCAGTTCTGTTGACAGATTCATTTAGTGGACATTTTGGAACATTTCTATAAATTTTTCATTGAAAATAAGTCAATCTTATCACTGTCACATGTAGAAGTGAATGTACTGCTCCCGTATTATTTGATGCCAAGGTGTGTACAGGTTTGATAGAATTTCTGATATATAAAAAATCATTTAGCATTACTTAACATGTTTGAGAAACCAGATTCATCTCAGAAAATTGCATGTGCTGTACATTATAAAACATCTGTGAAAAGTGAGTATTTGATTATATTGGAAGGAGTTGCCTGTCACAAGTAAGGGCAAGGGCACAACAAGGGAACTGGCAACCACAATTTCTGAGAATTGTCATCGGCCTGAGTTCAACACATGTTACTGAATGGGGCAGCGCAAATTGAGGAAACAGCAACGCAACACATGGAGAGACTTAGAAACTCAACTTCCAGGCAACAGAGCATGCCGGTCTTTTCACAGTTGCATTGCCACATTGTTTCCTAGCGTCAGCTGTTCTATAACGCATGTCAATGATTCATTTGTTTCTTAAAATGGCATGAAAAGTTGGCAGAGCTGCTAATTTTGTTTTTGTGCAGTTACTTGAGCAAGAGCCTGGTATATCCTTTAAGAGATGGGCCATTTAAATTCCCATAATGGCAGCAGGCCAGAGTTAATTTAAATGCTTGCCATTGTAGAGTACTAAATATTGTAAGCATATTACTGAAAATGCTGTGATTTCTACAATTTTTTTGATAAACGAACAAAATAAACGCTGCTTTTATCTAGAAAGAATATAGAATCAGATGATTGAGCAACTAATTAAGCATAACTTTCCTCAGTGTGCACCTGCTAATCTGGAAACCAGTTGCCTGCTTGAAATCTGCAACATTTCTCGGTAATTGTGGTTGCCAGTTTCCTTGGTCTGCCCTCACCCTAAAAGTGTTTAAAAGAAAGAATATTGCAAATACTTAAGGGCAGTCAGCAAAAATTGAATGGCTGAACCCCTTATAAAACTGGCAGTGTGTTCAAGGTGCATGTAATTTTCATGATGATGGTTGAAATTTTATTCATGTTATATCACAATAAGCATATGACCCATCAAGGAGGATGAACAAAATAATTTCTTTCTTCCTTTCCTTTATTCCTTTTGTACCTTTATTTCCTATTTCTTTGTCCTGTCCTTTCATTTATCCATCCTATCCTAATTCTGTTCCTCTTTCCCTTCATCTCCACCACTTCTCTCTAAGGTATTCCTTTCCATCCCTTACATTTGCCCATCTTATTGTCACTCCTTCTTCTATTCCATCATATTAAAATAGTTCCACTTATGGGATGCATGGAACATTCCATTCATAGCCTTGTTTAATCATATTTCATTGTAGATTAATAAGCCTGTGGCTGAAAATCGGAACTTTTATCAAAATCTCCTCATAACAAATTTGAAGAAAATCTGTCCAGCAGTTTAGAAGATGATAATAGGTGACAGGCACAGACACAGATATATATAACTTCCACACGAGGACCTCCTCTTGCCTACTTTGGAAGAATGCTGTGAAAGGAGTGGATTCCTCAGCAGAGGTAAGGTAAAGGTAAGTCTATCCCTGTAACAGGAGATGAAGGGCGGTGAAGGCCCATAGGGTTGAGAGAGGTTTCCACATTTCCTCTAGATAATCTGCTCACAGATGGCCTTTTACCCCCCCCGAAAGAATCCTGGTACTCATTTCTATTAAGAGTCTGAGTCACCCCACGGCCATCGGCTGGAAGGATTAAGTAAATTGAAAGAAACATACCTCTTCCTGACTCGAACCCGCGACCTTCCGGTTTTTGGCATAGTGCCTCAACCAACTACGCTACCGCGTGTTTTTATGCCGACTCATACTCTTAGAAATCGCTGCTAGACATATAGGTACCCTGAAGAAGCATCTCCCGGAAAAATAATGTGACATGTAGTCATATATACTATATGTGTGTTTATACATATATAAACTTGATTTCGCGTAGCTTGTATCGAACGAAATCTCTGGATTTCCTTTAGTCCGCCCAGGATTCAAAGCAGATACCTACCGAATACATGGCATGAACTGAATTCTGCTTAATACTACATATATACTTTATGTCGTCGAATGTGAAATATTAAGAAGACGAAGAATGAA